TGTTTGTCCCAGAAGACTAGATCTCCAAACTGAAGTTTCAATACCATATTTTGATTAGAAGAAAATATAAATCATTTCATTCATCTGCTACAACAAGATATAAACGGGAATATAGCTGGAGTAAAGAGAAAAAGTGCTATATAAGTCAACTCTAGCACTGCAATAGGGTAGGCTAGAGAAAGCAGTATGTACTTTCTAGCTCTGCAATAGGATAGGCTGTAGGTCAAGTCTACTGTAGGGACACATGCCTTCTGGAAGGCAAGATGTGATATTACAATAGTCCCACCTTTTGATTATTCGGGAATAATCCAACCTTTGCACCTCATTTTCATTCAATGGTCCCTGACCGGTAGATGACATGCTATTTCAAGTTATTTTCTTATCTTTGCTAAACATTATGTGACAATAAGGTGAGATTTATGGTATAATATATTGCAAAGATAAGAAAATATATGAAATTAGTTTTTCGTTCTAAATTGGTTTGATGATTTCCTCACAACTGACACAAGTATAGGTGTTCAGCTATTAATTTCTTTTTCAGATGAGAGTTTGAGATCTTAAATATGAAATTTCTTTTCAAATGAATTCTTGATAAGTTGCTTTTGTCTTAATAATAAGAGCTGACGTTTTTGGTTCACATTTTCAGGCAAAAGGCCTAATTTCTAAGCTCACGGCTGAGAGGGATTCTGCCATTCAAATAAATAACAAGCTCCGGCAGGAATTGGTAAGGATATATGTGTCTGTGTGTATATGTGCGTGTGAGTGAGTGTGCATGTTTACTTTTTTATTACTTCGTATAAGATATTAATCAGTAAGTGTTGTTACTTATTACTTTTGATATAGTGGGCTTAACCAGGAGTCCGAAACAATGATTTAATCTCTTAGTCATTAAACGGTGTTATTAAGACATAATTGAATACATGAATTATTCACTCAATCAAAAGCCAACGTGTTTGCTTAGATAAAATTTATTACTCCTGATTGAGATGTTTATTCAGCCCCTTTTTCACGAAACCATGATGGATTGGTTAGATGTGGGTTAATAAGTAAGATTACTCACTGGCAAGGCGGACTAGAAATAACCTTAAATCGGTTACTTTACTCGATCCTTATTCAGCACACCAAATCAACAATCCCTTACACAAAGACCACTTAATCTAGAATGACATCTCAGTAGAAACAAGACTTAATGGGAAATTAAGTAAACAGTCCAGGGTCCATGTGAAATGGCAGCCCTGTCTGAATGGCATGGCTTTTGTTTCTACAGCCATCACAATAATATTTGTGGGAATAGCTCTCTATGGCAGTGACTTGTACTTATACTTGGCGTGCATTGACCACTTGTCTTTTGTTTGCAATTCGCTTAATATTAGCTATCCTGTTGTTATAACAGTTGATCGTAACAAGATACCAGTTTTGTAATTTCTATGCCTTATAAGTAGCTATATACTCTCTCCGGTTCTGAAAGATCTTTACACTTTCCATTTTTATCAGTACCACAATTATCTTTACACTTCCTTATTTGCCTTATTTGGCAAATAAATCTACACAAAATAGTGCCAAACAGTGTCAAACAGTGTACTCTACAGTAAAGTCAAATTTATTTTCTTAAAAACTGTGAAATCAAAGTGTCAAGATCTTTTGGAACCGGAAGAAGTACTAATGAACAATATTCATAGAAATTAATGAATTTATAATGTATTCTCTAGCATGTCTATCTTAAACCAATTTCTTATTCTTCATAATCGTTCAACTCTAGGAACTTTTAAGACAGGAATCAAACAGAAGTCGAGGTGGCATTCCGTTTATGTATGTTATGATCATTGGCTTGCTTGGTATTCTTCTCGGCTATCTTTTCAAGAAACCATGATGAAGGTTGCAGTAAATATGTTGCATCTGAATAATATTCCGTTTTATGAATTTCATATATGAAATTTATTCCATTTTCCGTTTCATGTTTTGCGTTTCTGTGCTACTTATAGAAGAATCGAGATCATAGATTATGAGTTACAATTATTTATTAGAATATTCAGTTACAAATCTTTATAATTAATGTCTTACTTAGTAGCTTACATCATTGTATAAAATACCAGAACATACTATAAAAGTAAAGCAGGAGTTTGGCCTAAACATCTGATCCTTTCTAGACCTCTATGGTATTAGAGCCATAAAAATTCTCACCAGCCCCTTCATCCCATGTCTGCCGGTGGAAATGGAGCCAGATGCCTCGATAATCCTCTTGCTTAACTGTCTGCATTGCTTCCAAATGCCTTATCTACTTCTATCAACAATAACCTAACCTCCGAGGGGCTCATTATGATTAACCCTAATCAGTTTTGGGGAAAAAAATTAGTCGAGTTAAATTACCTGGTGTGGTGACACTGAGACCAAGCAATGGACTTCTCGTTTGGGTCCCACCCCCATCTAGATGGATACATCAATGACAAAGTGGCTCCCCCCAGAAAGCCACACAACTAGCCTTCTCATAGTTGGTGCGCGAACCTCCACCTTAATAGTATGCAAAAACTAAGATAAAAATACTATCAAACTCAAACCAAATTGAATATGGTTTGGCTTCGATTCGATTTAGTTCGATACAGTTCGATTTGGTTAAATCAAATTGATATGTTCACCCCTAGTTTTAAGTGACAAAATATAATTTATATTGCCGTTATAGCTAACAAATAATTTTTCAATATTTTAAATATTATTTATGTTAAGGTCACATGTAAACTTGGACCATTTTTTCAAAGCCACATATTTTTTCATGATCTATGGATCTGAGTTAGTATTATAAACTTGTTTATTTTGAGGAAAGTATGATACCTAAAAGTAATTTTATTAAAATTACAATAAATATACAATTGTTAGTGAAGAAAGAAAATTAGAAGACAAGAAGCTATTGAATATAAAATACGTTAAAGAAAGAAGTAAACAAGTAAAAACCCCAAGCTTGAATAAAATAAAATAACATCCAACTATCCAAGCCTTATTCCCATAAAAGCTTTGGGGTCGGCTAAAAAGAATTGATCCATGATATTATATTCATATATCCATTCATGTGATGCGATTAAGTGATATTGTTGGTTGTCATACACCTATCACAACATCATCTTCTTTTATCCCGCCTTAGGACAAGCATGATACGAAAAATGATCTCATGACTGAGTTCAACTCGGATCGAATAAATTGAATTAATTAAAACATCAATTTTTATTTGTTAACCATTAAAAATTAATCCTAATATCGTTGTTATCGTTGTCAGTCTTTGATTTCTAATGCTAGAAATTTAGTGTTTGTGTTATACTTGTTGTTTAATTAAGTTTACAAAATTTGTTTAACCTTTCATTTCACTACAATAATACAACTATATTGATCTATTAATTTGTTATGTATATACTTCGTATGTTTTAGTTTATTGCATGACAATGATGAGTTCTTTTGAAGAACAAATGTAGGCTTATGTTGGGATATTGGGGTCTGGCCCAATAGTCCAGCCCAGAATATCCCTAAGGCCCAAGAACATGGGTGAGCCCAAAGGAGATCCAGCAGAGCAAGAAGTCTCTGAACGATCTCTGAGAGCGATTGGTGAAGATCAACAATTACCCTTGTGATTCAACATTACAAGGGTAATGTTGACGGAAGATCAACATTACCCTTGGTTGATGGCTTAATAGGTACAGGTACCAATCGAGAAGCCGTACAAATGGCAGGCTGCATTTAATGCTAGAGTATGGAGATCAAAGTGGGAGCATGAGTGTACAAGTGGTGAGGAAAGCAGCCAATTGGATTCGGCCACGTCATTTATTCCATTAGAAGGGGTTAACATTTGTTTACTAACAAGCATCACACTTACTCCAAATCTTGTATTAATCAGTAGACCGTAACTACCGTTCAGTCATTTTAATGTAATCGTTATTACGTTAATGCATTTGGAGCTATTGAGTGATCTGATTAGCTGTTAGTTTTCCTAAACACTTTCATTGATTAATCGTCCTTCATATCCAAAGGTTAGTGTTGGACCTTCGAATCCATCGGGACTTAAACTTAACAACTTATATTGATAACTCAACAACACGCAAACAATCCAACAGATAAACACCCCCGACTTGGTCATCAACCCCTGGATTAGACGTAGAATTACTTTCATAAGAATCCGCACAATAATTTGTTAATCACGGAACGGGCAAATAGCCTATGAAGACCAAGAGGAGTGACTTGTCTCCCATAACAATCGTAAACATTTCAAGAACGTCACTAACACAATCAAACACAATCAAGGTAAAAAGTCTAAAGAAAGACAAATAAAGTTTAAGGTAAAAAATAGAACAAGAAATCGTAGGTGGTCCAATCCAAACCTGGTTCAGAAGGGGAATGGACCATCAAAACTTCATCTTCCTTGTTCATCTCGTCTTTCAGCCCTCGATTTAACAACTGTTCAAATCTGTAGACCATGAGTAGATCTTCAAATTCCCCAAGTTTGCTGACGATGGACAACGGCGGGAACCAAACACCACCTAAACGAAGCTATGACACCGTCCACAATTCATAGAGTTTTAAACATTATTATCGGGCCACCGAAATGGAGGGTTGGGAGCGCCAGAGCAAGAAGGATGGGCAGCCGGAGGAGATGCACGATCGAGACCTTGCCGACTCGCCGTGCTACGCCACCTGACAAGTTCCGCTCGCTCATAGGGGATTTTAAGAGTTTGAGGATGATGTGTTTTTTGTTGCTTATTACTCCCTCCGTCCCGCAAAGAAGTTCCCGCTTTCCTTTTTTAGCAGTCCCAAAAAGAAGTCCCCTTTCCTTAAATGGGAAGTTTTCTACATCAAAACAGTGCCAAACAGTGTAAAACAGTGTCAAACAGTGCCAGTGTTGAAACAATGTCAAAACAGTAAAATTTACCTCTTGGTAAGTTTATTTCCTTAATATGTGTGTAGGTCAAATCGGGAATTTCTTTGAGGGAGTATTTTTTTGAAGAAAATGGAATTAATTGGCATTAATCAAATCGTTCGCTAAAGCGGATACAATGAAAGGAGGAGGATAAGTAAACCAAAATTGTGAATCAGGTAATGAACGAGCCGCCCTAGCTAGAAAATGAGCAGGCTTATTCGCTGACCTCTTAACATGACTGAAAGAAATGCTCGAATAAAAATTAGCCAAATAGCTAATGTCGTCTCTCAACAAACCCACGACAAAACAGCTCGAACCATACAAGATTTCCTAAATCGCCCTAATGGAATCTGATTCAACATCAACCGACGAACCCCCGAAGTCTTTTAGCCAGCTCAAAGCCTCACAAATGCCAACCAGCTCTGCCATCAAAGGTGTTAAGTTCCCCAGCCACTTTCTGGTCGCGTCAGCAATAAAAGCACCCGCCATTAAGCACTCTGGTGGCCGCATCGACATCAGAAAGTTCTGCTCGTCCCACCTGCAAGCCGATTTCTGCCCCCAGCACCTCTTGTCTGCACCTGCTTCCATCCGTCAACCGTGGTCCTGGCTCTGCTAATGATCTGCTGCAGCGAATACATCTTCCCCTCCCAAACACGTAAATTGCGTTCATTCCAAAGTGCCCAGCATCCCCACATCAATACCTCGATATCTTCTTGTTTTTTCCACCGGAATTCACCGTTTACCTGTTCGATAAATGGACTATCAGCCCTAGAACTCCAATGCCAGCGCAACTCTGCCCACAAATCCCGAGCAACAGCACACCGTCTGAAAATATGTTCCTGAGACTCCATTGTTGCGTCACAAAGCCCACATTGCCCCACACAGTCCACTCTTCGGACCTGCTAATTTTGCCTGCCAAAAAACATTTTAATTTTAGGTGGAAGTTTGTCCTTCCACATATCAGTCCATTCCAACCTCGATTGCCCGCCGTCCTCCCCCACCAAACTTTGGTAGCAGCTCCGCACCGTAAACATGCCGCTCTCCTCCCATCTCCAGCACAAGGAGTCCTTATTGGGACCCCTGCTTAAGGGAATACCTCGGATAATGGTCGCGTCTCTGGCCCCAAAAATGTCTGCAACCGCGTCCATGTCCCATTCCCGCTGATTAGTGATAAGTAAATTTGCCACCACCGCTTGCTTGTTTCTCTGTTATGACCCTCGGATTTTCCCTATCCCGTAACCACGGTTCCTCCCAAATATTTATGGAATGTCCGTCACCCACTCTCCAGTAGTAGCCTTCCCGAATAAAGTTCGAGTGTGAATGGGACTACGCTAGATAAAAGAAGGGTTATTCCCTGGTTTTGCTCTGAGAAAATCTCCTTTAGGAAAATATATCGTTTTAAAAACTCGGCCCGCCAACGACCCGGGATTCGTAAAGATCCTCCAAGCTTGCTTAGACAACATAGCTAGATTATAATCCCGAAGCCTTTTAAAACCCAGCCCACTAGCCGATTTGGGCACACAGAGAGAGGCCCAATCCTTCCAATGAATTCATTTACCTGCCTTTCCCTTCCACCAGTACCCATTCTTAATATTCTCAATTTCTCAGCAAAGATCAACAGGCAGAAGGAAAACATTCATAGAGTACGTAGGCATAGCCTGAATCACTGCTTTTAAGAGTACCTCTCTACCCGCTTTAGATAAAAATTTATTATTCCAGTTGTTAATACGGGTGAGCACTCTCTGCTTTAAATAGCCTAAAATGTTTTTCTTATTCCTCCCAACCAGAGCAGGCAGCCCCAAATATTTCTCTTCCTCCCCAACCAACCCGACTCCGAGGAGTTCGATCAAACCTTCTCGGTAATTTGTATCGACATTTGTGCTAAAGAAAACTTTAGATTTGCTGACATTTATTACCTGTTCTGAAGCTCTTTCGTAGTCAGCCATAATCTCCTTGATCAAAGAAGCTTCATCGTGGGTTGCTCTAAAAAAGAGCAAACTGGAGCCCCCGAGCAATAGAACCCCCATGCAGACGCCCTAAAGATTCATATCTGCGAAGTAACGCACTGAGACCTTCTGCCACAATTAAAAACATGTACGGAGATAAAGGGTCTCCCTGACGAAGACCCCTACCCGAAGACAAAAGTTCAATCATTCCATCATCAAAAGGAATAGAATAGGATACAGAGGTGACACACTCCATAATCAATCCTATCCATCTGTCATGAAAACCCAAGTTCCGTAACATCCCTTTCAGAAAAGGTCATTCAACCCGGTCATAGGCCTTACTCATGTGTAGCTTAAGACCTACCAGGCCTACCTTCCCCGGTCGCTTACATTTCAAATAGTGTTGGGATTCAAATTCAAGCATAATTTTGTTGCTTATTATTATTAACTTTTTTTGGCATCCTTAATTTTTTACACGCATACATGCATGAACTTTCTTCGAACTAAAAAAAAGTAAATTAAGATTATATATACTTTTGTCTTAAGATATTTTTTCAAGGAAAAAACGGTTAAATAATGAATATATGCACTCATTTTAGTAAAAACTCATTTGACTATGCACCCCATTTTTAGAGATATTGGGCTTTACATTTTATTTTCAAAATTATAAATTTCATTTTTTTTCAATAAAAACTCATTTGCCGATTCACTTCATTCCTTCACGATTTTTAGACTGATGGGGTTGCACATATTAATAATTTTGATAATAAGTTCAAAGTCCGATATCACCCGACAATGGAGCACAAAGACAATTTTTCTATAAAAAGAATGAACTAATGTACACAACTTTTTTAATGACAACATACACAACATTTGTATCCCCATTAACTTTTTTAATGGGTATAATATATTATATTACTCTACTCTTTGTTCAGAAAAAGGAAAAACACGTATTATATTTCTTACTTACATTTCAAAATATATTTGTTTCTTCTCTTTTTTCCTAGTATGTTTGCATTATTTTTAATGGTAGATTTGATTATTTTCCCCAACTATATTGTTATCACTTTTGATGACATTTGTTGCAAAAAAGAATTGAAAAATCTGAAATCGTGTGAAACAAATTGAACCTATCAAACAATCATTTTATGTTTCGATATGCGGAACAAAATTAAACCGAATCGATCTTTTTACTTTAGTTCGTATTTGATTTTTAGTAAAAATCGAATCGAAAAATCGAATCGACTCCTACTTTTATGTTTTCATTCCGTCTTTTTTTATATATTTTGATTTTATGCATTTGAAGGAATTAGTTTGTCTTAAGAAATTGTTCTAAATAAGACCAAAGCATAGATAAAAAGTCAAAGTAGAAGCTAACATTGCATGTTTTATTCCCTTACACAAGTCACCCGCACCTAGTATGAGTTTTTGCCGTTTCTGCAATGTCCAAAATGTCCCTACTACTTCGTATGTAATAGTGTAAAATTAACTGTCACTACATCCGTCCGTTGAAAGGTTCTTCCCATGGCAAAATGGTACAATTATTTATACAATAATTAAATAAGGTAGTTCGAGTATATTTTGAGAAATAATTTTAATATGTACTACCTCCGTCCCCCTGTTATTGTCCCATTGCGGTTTATGATGCTTGACTGACGATAAAGCAAACAGATCCCTGTCCGCACTAGAATTATTTTTAGAAAAAAAATTGCATATTCAGAAACTACATTAATAGTTTTACAAAGTCGCAAAAACCAGAATCAAATTTGATAAAAATTTGATAAATAAAGTAAGAGATTAAGAGTGATTTGTGTTGACAAAGTGAACAGAACATGGGACAATAACAGGGGGACGGAGGGAGTATATAATATAATGGGGTTGGTGTTGATGACTGCGATGTTATAAATGTATTATTTCTAATACTCCCTCCATCTCGTTGGAATGTTCCCGGTTGGACCTACACACATATTAAGGAAATAAACTTACCAGGGGGTAAATTTTACTGTTTTGACACTGTTTCGACACTGTTTGGCACTGTTTCGACACTATTTGACCCTATTTTGATGTAGAATAACTTTCCATTTAGGAAAATGGGAACTTTCAAACGGGACATCCAAAAAAGGAAAGCGGGAACATTCCAACGGAACGGAGGGAGTATATAATAATTAATTTATCATTTCAGATTGTTAATTGTTTCCTAAAATCAAAATAAGAAACTTTATATGAGACGTCCAAAAAAGGAAAGTGATGACATTTCGGAGGGAGTAATTAAGTAAGTTCAAGATAATGTCATGTTTCGTGTAGATAATGTTTTGATCTTTCTTGCGTGTATCTTTGAACTATACATTGATTTTCCTCAGCAAAGGATTATCTTAGTGGGAAGTGCAGATAAATGATAGTGAAGGTAATCAAGAAAATCAGAAAAAGGGCAATCATATGCTCTCATACAGAACTACTAGAGAAGGGTTGTACCCGTGGGTGACACAAATGGCGTTAATGGCGTTATCTGGTATCCAGGAGTCTCCTGTGCTTCCGCGCACATGATCTTTCAGGAGGTATGCTAGTTAATAAGTCTATTTATTCTGGTCCACTTACGGTGAGTCGGTGACTGTTGTTAATGGTACTAATTTACCTATTAAATTTTTTGGTGATATTTCTCAAAATCAGAAATTTTTAAACCAAAATTGTTTTTTAATTTAGATATTATGGTTTTAATTCATGCTCCTACTTGTTTTTCTGTGAGTAATAAAGATCTTAAATGGAGTACTGCTATGGATGAGGAATTTAATGCTCTTATTGGTAAAAAAACCTAGGAATTAGCACCGGTTGACTCTAATAAAATTGTAAGTTGGGTCTAAATGGATTTATAAAACTAAAAATACATGTGTGATGGTTCTGTTGAACGCTATAAAGCACGTCTCGTTGTCCAGGGGTTTAAACATCAAGCTGGGGTTGATTTTTTTGAAACTTAATTCTATTGTCAAACCTACAACTGTGTGAATTGTTCTTAATATAGTCGTTTCTTATAATTGGCCTATTCGTTAGTTGGATGTCAAGAATGTCTTTCTTCATGGTCACCTCGCAGAGGAAGTTTATATAATTATATGTGTCAACCACCTGGTTTTGTTCATCCACAATTTCCTAATCACATTTGTCATATATGGTCTCAAACAAGCTACACATGCGTGGTTTTATAGTTTTAGTAATTTTCTCTTGATTCATGATTTTGTGTGTAGTCGTGCTGATAATTCTCAATTTATTTTTCGTTAGGGTACTCGCATAATTTTCTTGCTTTTATATGTGGATGACATCATTATTACTAGATGTTGAGGGTAAGTCCCGCAGATCCGAAAGCCCAACACGAACTTTGGATATATCAGGAATGGCCCAGAATCAAAGTGTATAAGAAAATATAAGATCTGAACTAACTAAAACTCGAAAGCTCACTTGTATTAATCAACCAATCTGATTACAAGGGATTTCCCGATCGGTAAGTCGGAAACTATGCTTTAATACAAGAAATAAGAGCAAATGATGCTATTCTAGAGCTTGAGTATTGAAATGCTAACCCTTACAATGACTTGAAACCTTCTATTTATACTAATGGAGAGCATGAGCTGCCTCTTGCTGATTGGCCGTTGTTCCACCGACTTGGTCATCCATGCTTCCACTTGCTGATGTCATAGTCTGGCATTAACTGCACCTGGCCACTTGCCGGTTGGCCGTTGCTCGAACGGGATGTTGGTCCGTACTGAAGATGCTGTCAAATTGGCCCAAGTATGATATATAGCCCGAACCTCGTTCGGTATGTCTTCTTATTGGGCCAACCTTTATTTGGGCCGAACCCCGTTCGGTATGTCTCCTTACTGGATCTTTTCATCATGGAGTGATGGGCCTGTTACTTGGGCCGGATACCTTGGGCCTTCCCGATCTGGGTATTGGGCCTCTAGGTCAATATCCCAACACAAGTCCCCCACTTCCGATGTCTCGAACGAAGTGAGTGCATCAGGAAGTATACCAATGTCATAATACCCCGAATGGCGATCGGGGTACAGAAGTAATCAGTTCCCCATGCTGCGATTTGACGGCTGTCGCTTCATTTCCCCATATTCATCATGATAACTGTCGTTTAGTCTTTTCATTAGACGTGTGTCTAGCTTAAATGCCCCTAGTGATGTGTCGCTCTCTGATTGGTTCTCGACACGGTGGTTTCAAGGCTATAAATTAGCCCTTAATTCCTCAATTCCGGGTTTCGACTCTGCAATTCCTTGGCCTTCGTTGTTTCCTCTGCAAATTTCCCCCTGCTTCCCTTGCTCAGGTAACTTCCCAACCTTGGATTCCCCATCTTCATTTCTGGCTTCGATCGAGATGAGCCCCACAGAGCATTCTTCTGATTCGGAGATGGCCTCTCATGGGGATGACCGTGACACCGCCATTGTAGATGCCATCCCAGTTCCGTTTGCCGGTGTTTCTACCGAGACGGCGACGAATACCAGGACTGAGGCGGAGGACCTCCCTAGCACTTCTTCTTCCTCCAGTGAGGATTCTGATGACACCAAATCTGAGGACAAATTGGCTTCCATGGCGGCCGGACGTCCCAACGATGTTCCTCGCCATACTCTTGACCTAAAATTGATTAGGGAGAGGAGGCAAAAATTGACCTCTCACAATAGGGCCGAAACTCCGGCCCTTATCCCTGACCCGGTGGATTTCCGTTTGCAAGCCGGGCTTCATCCAATGCGTCATAGGCCCGGAATGACCATAGTCCACTTTGACTCAATTAGGGCCGGCCTTAGATTTCCGCTACACCCTTTCTCCATTTCTTTCTTCAATTTCTACGAAATTGTACCGGCCCAGATTATGCCGAACTCTTATCGAGCAATGGCGGGTTTCATTTGTCGTTGCAAAGATGCCGGCGCCCGACCAACCCTAGAACTCTTCCACCAGTTTTTCAAAGTAGCCCCCCAACAAACCCATGGCTATTTGGCCACTAGTGCCCGAACGGGACACATCCTGTTCAAAGGAAACCCAACTTCAATCAAATGGTGGAAAGACCGGTTTTTCTTCGTGTCCATCCCGGACGGTCTGATTCCCCGCAAGTGGAATGCTTTCCCCCACAAAACCCCTGATCCTGTCCTTACTGAAGAAATCTACAAGGATGTGCTTGCTGTGGAGAAGGATAAATGCATGGACATCATGAATTATCTGACCCCCAAACGACTTATAACAGCCGGGATAGGTACTGCCCGTTCTCTTGGGTTTACTTGTTTTGATAAACCAAGTGCCTTGGTCCGGGCGGTCCTTCCCGTGCGAGAAACGTTCTTTTATTCTTTTTTTCTAGTTTCTCACACGCTAGGGCCGCTCGATGCTAACATTGTTCTTTGCCTTTTTTCAGCACCCAACCCAGATCTTCCCATGGATGATAGCAGAGTCATCGCAGCCGGTGGGGGCGGAAAGTGGAAAAAATCCCGGAAGAACCCCCAACCTACTCCCACCATTGTTCCCGCTCAGGAGGCTGCCCCTTCCCAACCGCTCCCAGAACCTCAGCCAATTCAGCAGGTCCACCAGGATCAACTAGAGGCCATGCTGCTTGATGATCGGTTCGGTTCTGACCAACTGCACCAATTTTCCCAGCATTTCGACTCTGTTCGGGGGGAATCCTCGAATGCCGGTGAGACCCATACCGACCACATTACGGGTCAGGTCGAGCGTATCTCCCTATCCGACCCTGTTCATGAGGTTTTAGAGAGGGCTGGATCTACATCGAGCCAGATCTGGTCTACCTCCTCCTGGTTCAACAACTTTTCCCTCCCTCAGTTGCCGGTCGAGCAATCTGAGGAATGTTTGGCTCTGACTGCTCTGAAGGTACGTTGTCTTTTGCGCTTTGTCTTAATTTTATTCTCTGTAACCAGTACTAATTCTCGAACGGTATTATGTAGATGGGCTTGTACACCCTTCAGATGCGGGAGGCCCGCCTGGCCAAAGAGCGGGGACTGATTGTTGCCCAGTCTTCTGCTGAGCAACATGCTGCTGCTGCCATCGCCTCTCTGGAGGCCGAACGGAAAACCTTTGCCGAGGAAAAGCAGAGGCTGGATGCTGAAGTCGGTACCCTTCGGGTCCAACTCGCAGCTTCCCAGGCAAAGATCCTTGCCGCTGAGGCCGCACGGGTCAGATTCGAAGAACTGCCATCCAGTATCCCGGACGGTCCCTATGAAGTGAACGTGGATCTGTCCGCCGTCCGGGACATGTTTAAATCCTCCGATGAATTCTCCATCATCAAGGATGAACATGCCAGGGCCCAAATCCCGTTCGCCTTTGGGGCGTATTTGAAGGATTTCCCCAAAGGCGCCGGTCGGCTATCGGCTGGGGTGGCCCTCTTGGATAAGGACCCGGAGGCCAAGAGATGGAACGACTCCATTGTCTCCGATCTTTATGGCAAAATTGGCCAGGTCTTGCTGCGTCCCTTCGTCATTCAGCTTCAAAATCAACTGGGGAGACCGGTTCAGGCCTCTGATCTCCCCACAGATGACATCATTCAGGCGCAGTTCGAGAAATATCTGCGAGCCCAGCAACGGGAAGCTGATCGAGCTGCGGGAAAAGAGCCTGAACCCCCATCTGATGATGATGAGGATGAGGATGAAGAGGGAGATGACATGGCCCCCAGTCAATAATTCATATGTACTTTTTCGTTATTTGTTGTAATTTTCTTTTTCTCTAAATAGCTTGTACTTCCCGGTCAGTAGAACCGACGAATATATATCCCTCTTTTGCCTGAAACTTTCTGTGCTGTCTTTTCTGTTTTTAATGCATTATTTACTCGTCATTCGGGATTCGGCCTGTTTTGTAGGACAGCAATTTCCTAACTTATTTCTTGCTCAAATATTCTTAATGCCGCTGATCACCGTTCGGGCATTAAACAGTTCTGATAATTTAAAGGAAAAAACCCCTTCCCCCCGGTACTCAGCCGTTCGGGCTTCATACCAAATTTTAGGACTTCAATAACATTGATAGCCGGTCGGGCTTCAAACCAATTTTTAGGACTTAGCCATTTTCCTCCAGATGACCTTTTACAATACTGTTGGCCGGTCGGCTTTCAGGTTGACATTTAGGCCTTAGCATTTTTCTTCCAGATAACCTTTTATAATACTCTCGGCCGGTCGGGCTTCAGGTTTGACATTTAGGCCTTAGCATTTTCTTCCAGACAACCTTTTATAATACTGTCGGCCGGTCGGGCTTCAGGTTGATATTTAGGCCTTAGCATTTTCTTCCAAACAACCTTTTATAATACTGTCGGCCGGTCGGGCTTCAGGTTGATATTTAGGACTTAGCATTTTTCTAAACAGCAAACCCCTGTGACTTTTGCTAATCCTCTGTAAGCCCGTCCGGGGTACGTGCACAAAAGATGAAACATAAATGCCCCAATTTGATCGTAACCACCAAATGCCACATGTTGCTCATGGATTAGGGAGTTGTGCGGTACTTTCCCTATTTATAGAGAGGTGCTTCCCCTAATTTCTCCTGCTGTTTTCTCATTTTTCTTTCGAGCTTTCTCTCTCTAGAATTCCTTGGCATACTCTCAAGCCTTCTCTCTCTAGAGTTCCCAAATTTCCTCCAGCGTTTTTATGTACTACTCCTCTAGCTCAGAATCTGAAGAGATGTCTTTGATCCGCAAGAGCAAAACATCCGCTGGTAACCAGGCCGAAGGCTCTTCGTCCCAAACACCCAGTGGCGGACCCAGAAACTCAAAATCACGGGGTCCCTACTGTAATGTAACTAATTAATAAAAAATTAATAAAAAGAAGAAGTAAAATAGTAAAATAGCATAACATATCGTAGTTAGCATAACGTATACAACAATTTTAAAGAAATGTCTACTATCAACTAGAGCTCGTTTGGTAACACTGAAATCGGTTGAATCGGCTGATTCTGCTGAAATTTATGAAGTTCTGACTGAAGTGGTTGTATTGACTGTTTCTGCTGATTATGAAAAATTATATTTAAAATATATTATATTAATAAAATAAAGAAGACATGATATGAAAAATAGATAAAATGGTCATCTACAACAACTGCAGTCAATACAGCCTGAAAAGTAACTTCAACCTTATTTTTCTTATTATTACATAATTCAGCGCGTAAAATCAAAAGTTACATGTTTGGTTAAAAAGTTGGTTGATAAGCCTGATAAGCCGAAAACAGAGTCACTAAACGGGCACTAAAATTTTATAAAGTTAATATCCTCTATCAACTAAAAATAATGGGCATGCATATGAGAAATCAAATTTAAAAAGCCTACATTTGAAATTTTCGATCCAATTACTTCGCATTATTTTATTTGGATTTTTATTTAAAATATATTCGTTAGCTTTGTTTCTATTTTAATTTAATACAATTACCAATTTATTTGTGTAATTTTAAGGACTTTGTTGTTGGGCTGATTTTAGTATTAGATCAAATCACATCAAGCCAAACTATGCGATAATGGCTCAAGCGACTGAAACTGCTATATTAGGAAATAATGATATTTAAATTATACTTCATCCATCTCTTTTTAGTTGCAACAACCAACATTTCACGTTTGCCAGCGCACAACTTTGATCGTCATTATATTTAATTCTGTATTACTAAAAATAAAATAAAAATCAGATTATAAGACTTAATAATGAGACAGATTTAACAAAAATTTTCAAAAATAATTCACATACATTAATAAATAAAATGTAGTCAAAGTAAAGTATATGAATAATGTATCCCAATGTTGTAAATAATGTGATATGGAGGATAGTATGTTATAAGATATGAAAAAAAGACATGAAAAAGTGGCTAAGATGATGCTCTTACGGTAACTTCAGTCTTCTCGCCGAAAAAATGATTTTAACTTGCTTATTTTAATTATTACAAATTCAGTGCGTGAATTCAAAAATTACGTGTTTCATGATGAAATTAGTTTATAAAACAGATAAGCTCAAATTTGGGGATACATACTGGCTTTATAATAGTATTTGTTATGAAAAAAATTGGATATAGGTTGAGAAAATTAGATTTAGATTAAAAGTTGGGCTATAGAGGTGCATGATAACAATAGGTGCCCCAAGTTGTTCCATAATATTTTAATTATTACAAATTCAGTGCGTGAATTCAAAAATTACGTGTTTCATGATGAAATTAGTTTATAAAACAGATAAGCTCAAATTTGGGGATACATACTGGCTTTATAATAATATTTGTTATGAAAAGAATTGGGTATAGGTTGAGAAAATTAGATTTAGATTAAAAGTTGGGCTATAGAGGTGCATGATAACAATAGGTGCCCCACAAGTTGTTCCATAATTTTATTTTCAAAAAAGTGGACTACCAAAGGAATCGATCCCTTAACCTCCCACACATATACAACCTCAAGATTAGGCGTCCAACCGTTGCTCTAGTTCCATATTTGTGTTTTTAATTAGTTTCAATTGTATAAATACACTGATTACTTAATTTTATGTAAAATATATACAAATATATATAGGTATTTTTTGTAGGTCCATGGGGTCCCGGGACCCCGTGGGACCCTTAGTGGGTCCGCCACTGCAAACACCCAAACCCGCCAATACTCAGGTCAGCAAACATACCGAACAGCCGCAGGAGGATGGATGTCTGTCGGGAGATGACCTCCAGGTTTACAACAAGGGGATGCCCGAGCGGCCACCCCGCATTCCCCTACATTTCAATCGCATACGCAAACACAAACAACGTCTCCCAGAAGATGTTGAACGGCAACTTAGCCAGCTGTTGCCCCCGCCAAGAGAATACTATGCCGGATTCATTCGGCACCCTATGAGGCACAGACCGGGGTACGTGCTAGTGCATCTTGATGCTCTGATTGCTGGACTTCGGTTCCCTCTCCACTCATTCATAGTGGAGTTCTTACGCCGGGTTGCTGTACTGCCCGCTCAGTTCATGCCCAGCACTTACCGTATTCTGACGGGCTTCATTATCCGGTGCCACGAGTTGAGGATCACCCCGAGCGTCGATCTGTTCCTTTATCATTACTGCTATCAGCCCTACTGGACGACCGGGTACTTGAAGCTGGTAGCCCGTTCTGACCGTCAGCTGTTCACAGAGAACGTTACCCCGCAGGCTGACTGGGAAGAGCGGTTTTTGTTCGTTCGGGTAGGTGATTCTTTGCCATTCCCGGACAGGTGGAACGCATACCCTGTTCGGGATTCCCTGCCCAGGGTGGATGCCGTTCTACGCTCCCAGGCTGAGTCTTTGCGAATGGGAGGGACCAGAAGTCTTCGCAGCTTTGTCACTGCCTCGAGCATGTTATCTGCTGGAATTGGTAAGCATAGTAGGGTTTTAACCCGATCATCCTTCGCTCTCACAATTCAACTTCTTATTTTTTATTTCTCTTTCTTGTAGGTGTGATCTCTCCCATACCCGTCCGGCGTTCTATCTCTTCTGCTAAAGGGAAAGAGAAGATGATAGCCGATCGTGATTCGGCGGAGCAAACCCGCAAAAAGCGCAAGGGAAATGATGGCGATCACCTGATCCCGATCGACCATGTGGTTGACTTGACCGGGCCGGAGGTTGAGCCCCAAAGATCAGTGCCTGCCAACAAACAAACTCCGATTCTTACTGCCACACCGATCGATGATCGGATGTTTGTTGAGTTCTCAAATATGGGGCCCAGATCAGAAGGGAGATATCTGTTCGGGTTGATGCCATCTTCTATGTGGTGTCATACTGCGATCAAAGTTCCCCCGAGCTTCACTAACTTGACTCACTGGTCGGACCTTTTCGAAGCAGGTCACCAGGAAGCACTCAAGGTACATTTCAGTCCGACCCATACCTTTCTATTATTCATGCTTTACCTTTTCTGACTTTCATTGTAACCTTGTTTTCAGGCTGGCGTGTATTATCACAAAGCCTTTCTTGCTGCTGAGAAGGAGATGAAAGCCCTGGCCAGTGATCGGGATGACGGCCAGGTCCTTCTTTCCGCCGCTCGGAAGTTAGCGACCGACCTCCAGGAGCAGGCCAAAGAGGGTGAGAAGGCAAAAGTTGCCTTGGCCGAGATGCAGGAGACGTCCCGTCGTCGCGACCGGGAGCTCAAAGAACTCCGGGCCAAGGTGCGGGCTGCTGAATCTGCTGGCATTAAATTTGATAAGACTGTCGGAGATCATCTGCCCGAACCCTACACGGTCAATACCTCTCAGATTGCTCAGCAATCGGTAGTGGATTTCCAACGGGGCAAAGCGCTGAACCTCGCTCTGGAGAATACGGCCCGGCAATTCCTAGGTCCTCACCTTGGCCAATTTTTGCGTGAGAGCTCAGATCCCATCAAGGCAGGGATCGACCTCCTGGACAGCACGCCGGAAGGGAAATCTTTCTTGGATGTCTTGACCGAGAAAACCGTAAAGCAAAGTCAGGACCTGCTTCTGGATAGGAATCTTGAACTGATCTTAGAGCGTTTCCCCAAGCCGTTCGATCCTGATGAACTAGGCTTTGATGATCTGTTCGGGAATACGTACGATCGTATCATGGAGAAAAGATCCAGAGCAGCGCCTGACGATGCAGTGCAGGCAGGGAGCTCTCAGTCTACGTCCTCCCCGAACGGCGATCCTCCAGTAGTGTAGCCTTTCCTTATCTGTCGTCTCCTTTCTTGTATATTTGTTCTTCTTGTATATTCCGGCTAGTAACGCCGAAGAATAAACTGGACTTTTTTCCTTTGTCTGTTGTACTTTTTCTATTCCTTTGATTTTTTGTCCACAATCTTTTCTACATGGCCGAACCTCACTCGGCTTATGTATCTTTATATCTGACACCTTTTCCGAACCCGTTTTGATCCCTTTTCCTGTTCGTGATGCACGGGTTCAAAACTCTTAGCTGAGGTGAATTCCTCCAAGCCGTTTTGATCGTGACCACAGGGTCAAACTCTCGGCTGGGATAGGGGCTCCCTCCAAACTGTTAACACGTTCGACATTCGGTCATCCGGAATGATTTCGCGTGTTAACAAGCTGAGGTGAGACTCTCTTCATAATTGTTCTGACACCTTCCCGAACCCGTTTTGATCCCTTTTCCTGTTCGTGACGCACGGGTTCAAAACTCTCAGCTGAGGTGAATTCCTCCAAGCCGTTTTGATCGTGACCACAGGGTCAAACTCTCGGCTGGGATAGGGGCTCCCTCCAAATTGTTAACACGTTCGACATTCGGTCATCCGGAATGATTTCGCGTGTTAACAAGCTGAGGTGAGACTCTCTTCATAATTGTTCTGACACCTTCCCGAACCCGTTTTGATCCCTTTTCCTGTTCGTGACGCACGGGTTCAAAACTCTTAGCTGAGGTGAATTCCTCCAAGCCGTTTTGATCGTGACCACAGGGTCAAACTCTCGGCTGGGATAGGGGCTCCCTCCAAGCTGAGGTGAGACTCTCTTCCTTCCAAACCCATAATTCCGATGCATTCTGAACCGTTTTTTCTGGCTCGTATCATCCATATTAAGGGTCTGAGGTAACCCTTTTCGAACTGTAAGCAAGATCACCGAATTTGGGTCATTCCTTACTTATAGCAAAAAGGGCGACTAGCTTCCAAGTCAAGTTTTATGACTGAGGCGAGATTTTTCAAAACCATAATTCCGATTCCCCGGGCGACAATCCGTACCTTATCTGAACGTCGCTCGGTTAATCCATATCTTACAGTCTTGACACCATCTCCAAGCCGTTTTGATCCCTTTGCCCGTACGTAATTACAGGGTCGACTTTGGCTAAGTTGACGACTCAGCTCCCTCCAAGCTGGTAACCCGTTCGTCATTCGGTCATCCATAATGATTCCACGTGTTAACAGGCTGAGGTGAGAATCACTGTCCTTCGAACTCCAGGCCATTTTGATCCCTTCATCCATGCGTAATTACAGGGTCAAAACTCTTGTTGAAATGTATGGCTCCCTCCAAACTGCTAATATGTTCGTCATTCGGTTTTCCAGAATCGATTCTCATATTAACCGCTGAGGTGAGACTATCTGAGTGTCAAACTCCCAGTCGTTGGCTGAGATGACTTTCCTTCCATGGAATTAACCCGTTCGTCATTCGGTCATCCGGAATGATTGAGTTAACCACGGGCACCGATTTTCTGAGCCTCAATTCTTCAAGCCGTTTTTGATCCCTTTATTCTTACATAAATCTAGGGTCAAAAACTCTCTAAACTGAGAATTGATTTTCCTTCCATGGAATTAACCCGTTCATCATTCGGTCATCCGGAATGATCGAGTTAACCACGGGCACCGATTTTCTGAGCCTCAATTCTTCAAGCCGTTTTTGATCCCTTTATTCTTTCGTAATTCTAGGGTCAAAAACTCTCTAAACTGAGAATTGATTTTCCTTCCATGTTGTTAACCCGTTCGTCGTTTGGTTATCCGGAATGATCGAGTTAACCATGGGCTGAGTTTGTGGAAGTTATGTCTCCCTCTATATATATATATATATATATATATATATATATATATATATATATATTTTAGAGGTGGCAACAGCCGTTTTTACTGATAAAATCTCCTCAGATGCTCTACATTCCAGGTTCCTGCCGGTCGGCCTTCGATATTTTGTAAGCCAAACGATCCTGAAGCATACTTCTTACATACTTGGTAGGGGCCTTCCCAATTCTGTGCCATTTTGCCCCCTTCGAGCGGTTTGCTTTTCTCTCTCTTTCTTAGTACCAGGTCCCCTACCTCGATTGAACGAACTTTAACCTGCTTATCGAAGTATCTTCTTGTGGCTCTGTGATACTCTTCCATTCGTGCCGCTGCCAGATCCCTCCTTTCTTCTATGAAATGCAATTCGGCCCGTAAGTTATCTTCATTCTGTTCTGGGCTGTAATGCACCGTTCGGTGTGTGGGAACTAGGATCTCCGTTGGTACTTTGGCTTGAAAACCATAGGCAAGGGCAAATGGAGTCTCTCCCGTGGCCGTTCGGGGTGTGGTCCTGTAAGTCCACAGAATGTAATTCAACTGATCAGGCCACGATGAGGAGTATTCTTCCAGCTTCTTCTTCATGCCATCCACGATGGTTCGGTTCATATTTTCTACCTGGCCATTTGCCTGAGGGTATGCGACGGATGCTCTGGAATGCTTGATCCCCCATTTGACCAGGTAGTTCTCAAAATTCTTGCTCACGAACTGCCTTCCATTGTCAGTTATAATCTGTTCAGGGATTCCGAACCGGCAAATAATATTTTTCCAGACAAACTTCTGGCATTTAACATCTGTGATGCTGGCCAGTGGCTCGGCCTCTACCCATTTGGTGAAGTAATCTATCCCCACAATGATGTACTTGTTGTTTCCGGGTGCAGTAGGTAGAGGACCTAACAGGTCTATTTCCTTGTAGGCCTTCATCCTTTCTTCTTTCCCCATCTATTCCCCGTCATTGGAGTGTAGAAAGTGGCAGGCCGTCCGGGAACCGGTGCATATAATTGGCATACCTTACATTTCCTGGTATGCGCGAAGCAGTCCTGTTGGATAGTTGGCCAATAATATCCTTGCAAGATGATTTTTCTGGCCAGCGTCTTGGGCCCTTGGTGACTGGAACAGATACCTTCATGAATCTCTTCCATTACAGCTGCCGCTAGATCGGGTGGGAGGCATTTCAGATACGGCCCCCAAATGACTTTTTGTACAGCTGCCCGTCCACCAACTCGAACATGGAAGCCCTCCTCTGGATGCATTTTATTTGATAAGCAGGATTTTTATCTTGTGGGAAGGTTCCGTCTTTTAGGTAGTTGGTCATATCCACGACCCAGCTCGGGATGGCATAAGATATGGCCTCGATCTGGAGCACCATTATTGCTGGGGTTGCCAATGTTTCCCGATGGGCAAAACGTTGGATATGAGCCGGGATCTCCTGTGCCCGATCGTCGAACGCTGCATGCTCTAATTTGGACAGGATATCTGCTTCAGTATTTTCGATTCTGGATATCTGGTCGAGCACCACCTGTTCAAATTTACGTATCTGCTCCTCGACCATTTCCTTGTAGGCCTTCATCCTTTCTTCTTTGGCATCAGCCGTGCCGTTCACTTGATGTACCACCAGTTGACTGTCCGATCTCACTTTTAACCGATCGGCGCCCAGGGCCCTTGCATACTTTAAACCAGCAATGAGAGCCTCATATTCAGCCTCATTGTTGGTCACCTTGAAATCAAAATGAATGGAATAATATGCTTTGAAACCCTCGGGCGATGTGATCACAGCTCCAGCTCCACAACCTTTGGCACTAGATGCTCCATCCACATACATTTCCCACCAGTTATCCAGCCCGTTGTTCTCTGAATCTTTTTCTGAGGGCCGGGCGGTACATTCTGCAATGAAATCTGCCAGGGCCTGCCCTTTGATAGTAGGCCGGGGTTTGAAATCTACCTCGTATTGACCGATCAGGAGACTCCACTTGGTAATGCGCCCACTTGCTATAGGATTTCTCAAGATGGTGGCTAATGGCTGGGTAGTATATACAGTTACCGGGTGGGTCTGGAAATACGGGGCCAGGCGTTTAATGGCAGCTATCAGGGCCAGTATATTCTTTTCTAGCAAGGTGTACCTGGTTTCCGGGCCGTTCAACGCCTTGCTCACAAAATAGATTGGCCGTTGAACGCCATCTTCTTCTTTCAGCAGTACCGTGCTTACGGCCAAGTCAGCTACAACCAGGTACATATACAGATGTTCCCCTGGTCCGGGTTTTGTCAAGACCAGGGGGAAGACAGATATGTCTTGAAATCCTCAAAGGCCGTTTGGTATTCGGCCGTCCACTCGAAAGGGTTGGCTTTCTTCATGATTTGGAAAAACGGGATAGCTCGATCGGCCAGTTTTGATAGGAATCTGCTCAGGGCTGCTAGCCGACCGGTCAATCTCTGTACTTCCTTGAGATTCCTCGGAGCCTCCATGTCCACAATGGCCTTTACTTTTTCTGGATTGGGCTCAATCCCCTTCTCGCTCATCATGTACCCCAAAAATTTGCCTCCTCTTACAGCAAACGCACATTTCTTGGGATTCAGCCTCATATTCGCCCTTTGCATTATCCCGAACACCTTTTCTATGTCCAGGACATGGTTTTCCTTCCTTTTGCTCTTGATCAGGATGTCATCAACGTAGGCTTCCATTGTGACACCCAGCACATCTTTAAACAGCATCCCGATCATCCTCTAGAAGGTTGCCATCGCGTTCTTTAATCCGAATGGCATGACGATGTAGCAGAACACGCCATCCGAAGTAACGAACGCCGTTTTCTCTGCATCGGCCGGGTGCATGAATATCTTATGATAACCCCGGAAAGCATCCATGAAGCTCAGTAACTCACACCCAGCAGTCTCATCCACTAGCAGATCGATCCTCGACACTGGGTAGGGATCCATGGGGCATGCTTTGTTCAGATCGGAGTAATCCACGCACATTCTCCAGGTAGATTGTTTTGGGGCTAGAACCACATTGGATAGCCATTCTACGTGGATTACCGAATGGATATGCTTTATCCTTAGCAAAGTGGCCACTTCCTTCTTGGTGAATTCCCGCCGTTCGGTCGCTTGATACCGTTTCTTCTGTTGGACCGGTTTTGCATCAGACCGAACGGCAAGTTTGTGACATATTATTTCTGGATCAATGCCGGGCATATCTTCTG